CTCTTTAAAGGCATATAGGTTTTACTGGCCTAGATTCTGAGTCTCCTAAGGGGTGGGGGCGTGTATTTTCAAAAATTGCCATAGGATAGTCTTTCAAACAAATAGTACTGAGAAAACTGGGTATCCATATGCAAAGGCATGAAATTGGACCCTTAGGCAGTACCATATGCAAAAAATTAACTCAAATTGCATCAAAGACCTAAATGTAAGAGTGAAAACTCTTAGAAGAAAACAATGGGCAAAAGATCAGTGATTCTCTTTTATCATTGATGTCTCTATCTCTCTTTCCCTCTCCCTTCCTTTCTGAAGTCAATAATAAAGATATATTTTTAAAAATAGTGTATTCTATTATATAGGCAAATTAAGAGTTGTCATTTTGATGATGAGTTAACATGGTCTTTATCCTGAAGCTTAATCAAATAATTGTATTTTAAAATCTTGCTCATTATAAAAAATATCATAAGCCCTGGCCAGTGTGTCTCAATTGGTTGGAGTGTGGTCCTGTGCACTGAAGGGTCATGGGTTTGATTCCCAGTCAGGGCACATACCCAGGTTTCAGGTTCCATTCCCGGTCGGGATCCATGTGAGAGGCAACCAATCAATGTTTTTCTTTCTCTCTCTCTTCCTCTCCCTTCCTCCCTCTCTCTATAATCAATGAAAAACATGTCATTGTGTGAGATTTTTAAAAAATGAAAATAAATTAATAGATAACATTGAGTAATTGTAGACACTATTTTCTAGAGAAAAAGGATAATTCTGTTAAACCTAATGGTTCCTATTAAAACAATTTTTTATTACGGGTAGGGTTTTATACACATATAAAAGAGTAAAATAGAAAAAAAAGAACATATGCTGTTTTATGTCTGGTTTCAGTAGATTTGAAACTTTTTCTTTTTTATATGTAAATGTCTTTATTTCAAGTCAAGAGATCTAATTTTAAAGAATCACTTGTCAGCAGCATCTGTGCATTTTATCACATGCAAATTTTACATATCAGTATTACTGAGCATAATCAGCTTATAGAAACGCAGTTTGGGTTTTGCTAATAGAAATAAAGCCTAATTATATTTCATAAAATATATTTCAGAGTAGGCTTAGAATCTATTTTAAATAATCATAGCAATAGAAAATTCAGTTGTATCACTTACAGCAGGCTTAGCTAATGAAAATGACCAAAATACTGGAGTCTGCACGTAAGCTTATTTCTTTCAGTTTTGAATACTTGCTTTATCAACATTAAGAAATGAACTCTTCCATATTTAAATGTTTCCTATTGCATAAGAACTTTTTTTAGTAAATGAGTCAAGGGCTCTGAAAAAATATATTCTTAGCTGATTGCAGAGGATTAAAAAACAAATTACATGCATGTAGATGAAGGAAACCTCTACCTTTCATGTAGCTAACTTGCTTATCACCTTTTTGTTGGTGTTTTAGAATTACCTCCAGAAGCCAGTTGTAGCTATGGAAATAGACCCTATTTCTGACAATAAATATTCTTAGAAATCTTATGGTGAAATGTTAAGCACATCCCACAGGAACTATGGAGGGAGCAGTAATTGTAAATGCTATTTGCAATTTTGGTCTCCCTAACCAAAGCCATTTTGGTATCCCTTTTGTAATGATTTAAATGATAGGGCAATAAACTTTTCAAACTGAAAGAAAACCTCAGAGACCGGTAGCCAACCCTCACATTTTCTGTATGGAGAAACCAATTCAGTGCAGCCAAGCTAACCAGTATTCTATGATTTCAGCTATTTAATGCAAAACTAAGACCAGAACTTCTCTTTTCCGATTCCCAATGGAAAATGTTCTCAGAGTACTTTCTTTAGAGAAATTCTATTAGAAAAATATGAAACTATGGACATATTAAGTATGCAAAAACTCCAAAAGTCTATTAAAGAAATAATCATAGTTTTCATAAATTTGATTTAATAATGTTATGCTAGTGAAAATGAATTATTTTATTATTGATTTATCCATTCATTTTGCATTCTGATAAAGGCTTTAAACAGTTTTTTAATCTATATTTTTATTGATTTCAGAGAGGAAGAGAGAGGGGGAGAGAGAGATAGAAACATCCATGATGAGAGAGAATCATTGATCAGCTGTCTTCTGCACGCCCCCTATTGGGGATCTAGGCCGCAACCCAGGCATGTGCCCTTGATTTAGAATCAAACCAGGACCTCCTGGTTCAAAGGTTGACACTCAACCACTGTGCCACCCTGGCTGGGCTGATACAAGCTTTTTGAGATTTATTTAGATGGTTCAGGTAGTTTTCATAAAGCTGTGAGGGGAATTTTATGTGTTGCCTTTTATTCACTCAGCTTAGCATAAGTTTTCCAAACCATACCTTCATTACTTAGATTAGAATGTTTAAAAGTAGCTATTGTGGTATCTAAGGAATTGAAATTTTGAAGAATTTTTAGTTGCCGCATTTAGACCCTTGCTAATCAATGTATTCCATAAATCATGATCCCCAGAATCATGGGGGAATTGGTTAGAAATGCAGAATCTCGGCTTTCCCTTCCCCACAGCTGGACCTACTAAACCGAAATCTGTATGAACAAGATCCCAGGTGATTCTGATACACATTTGAGTTTGAAAAGCACTTACTTAGAGAGTTAGTAACCTCAGAACCATGTCCTGCTTGTTACCATCTTATTATCCCTTTCTCCATTGCCTTTCTTTTTTGTGCCCCCATTCCCAAAGAAACACAAAAATAATCAGTGTCTGCTTTAATAAGCAAAAATAAGTTCAGGTCAAAAGTGTGTAGAAGGAAGGAGAGGAGATCTACCTCTTCCTTCTGAGATGGCGTAGAGGAGGGGAGGGGCTCTAATTGGCTAACTATACCTGTATGTGTTGGGGGTGTTTTTAGCATCTAGCAGGTCTACATTCTTTCTCCTCTCAGTATTTACATTGGTCCCTGCTCCCAAAACCAAGGTTGTATAACTGCACTGAAAAGTGGAGTACAGGAGTTAATTATACAGTGTTGAATTTGCAGAGTGTAAGCCACAAAGCATCAAAAGCAGGAATGTCTGTTCCAGTTAAGGACAGGCCAACAAAGGATTTGTTGCTGGTTATATAACCTGGAAGCCACAGTGAATAACAGGCATTGTAAGGCAGAGAGAGAATGGTTGTGATGAAAAGCAAAGTAAAATACTTGAACGCAGGGCTCCATATACAAGGATGACTCTGGTGAGTTTCTCTCCTAGTAAGTGAATAATTAAAAGTCTGCTGTAGCGATTAAGAGCTCAGACTCTGAGCTAACAGTTTTCTTGGTTCAAATCCCAAATAATTTACTTCTTAGCTCATGACTGTGGGCAAATTACTTAGACTTTCTAACCTCTTCACCTGAAAATATGGAAAAGAAAACAATAGAACATACCTCATAGGGTTATTGTAAAGAAAAAATGAGAAAATCTTTGTAAAAGTACTTAGCACAGTGTCTGAAACAGTAAATACTGATTGTTAGGGTGTATGTATGATATTTATATTTTGTTCAATGATTCATTTATTAAGATTCTTCTCATCAGTTTCCCATGTGCACAATAGATTGTTTTAGGTGGATTTTCTGGGATTTGATTATGGTCTGTGGCCATGACAAAGAGCTGCAGCTTTAACAAAAGGAAATTCTCTAGCTAGAGTGGGTGTCTGTTGATCACCTCTGAGATAATGAGTTCTAGGCTAGGTGTGCAGGAGGCAGCTGCTGCTGGTGGTGGTGGTGGTAGGGAGTCTAATGAAAGAAAATGAGAAACATCATAAAGTCCATCGAAGCACTTAGATTATGAGTCGCAGATGAGCTCTACACAAATCTTTTACATGAAGAAATATACACATTTCTTTACATGAAGAAAACCTCAAAAGATGTTTCCAAAGCAGCATGTTCATAAGTTGAAAATTATACCATAAAAATTAGCGTGTTTGGAGTGCTTGAAAGGCAACCGTCAATATTGGTCATTCACACCTTTTATTTTCTCCAGGTGTCTTCTACAAAGAAGGAAGAAAATGAGAGAGAAGAGATTAGGCAAAAACTGTAGTTTGACGTGCACTAAATATTTATTCTGATCTCTCTCTCTCTCTCTCTTTTTTTAAGCATTGATACTTTCGAATATTGACTTAGAAGCTAGCTAAGCCCTAGAGGGCAGAATGTGAATGTGTTAATATGAATACGGTTAAAATAGGTGCTGGCCCCGCCTCACTGTGGTTATGTGGACACAGGGTGCAGGCAAGAGCACAAAGTTAGGAAGGTGCTAATCAAATAGTGTTCTTCACCGGTCATTTCACCTCCCACTTTACAGTGACTACTTTTTAAGACTTTTAAAGGAGTTCGGGCTTTAGAGAAAATAGGAAAGTAGAGGAAGTTTGGAAATGTCCCACCGCAGAGCTGTAAATTGGGTGAAACATTATAAAGCTTGATGCATTGTCTATCTTGAGGAATTCAGGAAGGGAAGGTGGCTTAGAAAAAATGGTTTGGAAACAGACTTGTGGGTTCCTTGTCTTCTGTTCCCGAGGGTGCCTGCATGTTCAGAGCAGTTTTAGAAAGATGCTTCTGTCTTCAGGTCTGGAAGAGATGGACAAGGAAGGGAAGATTTGGGCTGGGGAGACAGAAAATGGGTAGCGTTAGTAAGCATAAAGGCAATCAGCAACAATTGCATTAATATTGGGTTGGGGGAAATAAAAAGATCATGGACTAAGACCATGGCAGTAGGGTGAGAAAGTTTTCAAAGGTCACTTGTGAAATTATCTTGTCATGGACAACTTTAAAATGGAGAGAGGAAGAAAAAAAAAAAAAAAAAAAAAACCACTTCAGAATAAATACCCAGGGCCATCTCTAATTTAGAAATAAGTAAAAATTGGCATCCATCAGGGGATGGTAAGACATTGTGCGAGGGTCTCTCAGGGCCTGGCTCACACGTTAAGCCTGAGATCCCCTTCGGATATTTGGTTCCCAGTCTCTGGTCCTCCGTCTAACCTGACTTTCTCTTTGCTTCCTTCCACAGTGCCCGTGTACCCCAAGTCAGCAATGTTTCAGCAACAGGAGAGTAAGTTCCTGAAATTGGGTGCCTCCCCTCCCAGCCCCCACCCCGCTTACCTCTTATTAAACAGGGAAAAAGGAAATTCTAATGTTGGATAGTATTGGAAGATTAATATAGAAAATACGGCAATAAGCAAGCAAATGATTTTGAAAACTACACAGAGGACATAAGTAAGAAGTGTTGTTATTTGAGCTCCTGTGTGGATTTGTGACTAGAGACAGCTCTACCATTACAACATGGGAGATTTATATTTATTTCATTCTAAGTAATGTCACGTCAATATTTGCAAGGCAATCAATTTGCTTTGGGAGATATCTTGCAACAGAGGATGCCAGTAAACCGTGCCTTTACTTCTTCCTTCATTAATTTTAGTCAGCCCACATTTATTGCGTGTCTGCAATAAGCCAAGCACAGTGTTAGGTGTGTAAAGTCAAGTGAGCCCTGGGCTCAGACTCCCAGGGACATAGAAAATAAAACAAATTAGCGAAAACTCGTCCTTTTCCATATGACAGCAGTGCCCTGTTAATTTTACCCACCACGTGTCTTTTTCCTCCTAAGGCTACCAATTGCATTTAACTGAAATCTAAACTCCTGTTATCTGCCTTCTGCCTACGTGTCCAGCCGCATTGTTCATTACGCTTCAAGCACATGACCTTCTGTTTCTGGAATGGACCAAGCATATAGCTGCCTCAGAGCCCTTGCGCTGGCTATCCTCAGCCTGGCCATGTGCTTCTTATCATTCACCTCTTTGTTCAAATGTCATCTTATTGAAGAAGTCATCCCTGCCCTAACTGGTTTGGCTCAGTGTATAGAGCATTTGGCCTGTGGACTGAGGGGTCCCACGTTTGATTCCGGTCAAGGGCATGTACCTTGGTTGCGGGCACATCCCCAGTGGAGGGTGGGGGTGGGGGTGAAGGAGTCAGCTGATCAATGTTTTTAACTTTCTATCCCTCTCCTTTCCTCTCTGTGAAAAAAAAAATCAATAAAATACATTTTTTTTAAAGGAAGTCATCCCTGATTACCCACAGTCACTCTCCAACCCTGTTCTCTATTGTAGAAGACTCATCACTATTTGAAATTTCATGATCTGCTTATTATCTGTCTTACCTCAGATTGTGGCTGTATTCCTATCACCTAGAAAGATACCTGGCATATGTTAATCACTAAATATTTGTAAATAGTCTCTTGCCCAAAGATTTTCCATTTGCACCCACCTCTTTCTTCCTTACTGGGACATGGGTGGGCCTTTTTGGATCACCTTCCATCAGCAGGGATCAGGTGGAGGAAGAAAGGAAGATGTGATGTGATAAGGAGGGAGAGAGAAGAATTAGAAGTACCCTGTTTCCCCAAAAATAAGGCAGTGTCTTATATTAATTTTTGCTCCCAAAGATGTGCTAGGTCTTATTTTCAGGGGATGTCTTATTTTTCCATGATGAAGAATATGGTACACATTTATTGTTAAATGAAAATAAAGGAAATTTATTACCTGTATACTGTACGGTAGTACAGTAGTTGTCAAGACAAACCAGACAAACTGTGAATCCTACAGTATCAAGAATTTACTCATTTTTTCAATGACAATCATGTCATCATCTTCTGGAACATCATCATCATAACAATCCAATTCCTGAATTTCCTGGTGAATTTCTTGTGACTCCATTTCTTTCAGAATCAGTGGACCAAATCTCTCATGTTTAGCCTAGGGGGGCCTTATTTTCGGGGGGATGCCTTATATTTCACTCAGAAGGAAACCTGTAAGTAGGTCTTATTTTCAGAGGATGTCTTATTTTCAGGGAAATACGGTATTAACTGGTATGAATTTAGACTTAATAGGATGAATTTGGATTTTTTTCTTTTTTGTTAGGTAAGAGAGCAATCAAATCAAAGGACAGGATTAACCTTTCTTACCTTTGTGAAGTCTAAAGAGATTCCAGAGTTATCCTAAAATTGACTTTTTTTTTTTTTGCCTTTTTGTTTCCTGATACCCTTTATTTCTTGTATGTCTTGTATAGATTGGAAAGGTGTGGGGATTGGTCTATAGGAATATTCAGGGTGTCCCAAAAAACTGTGTGTACACTTTAACAGCTGATCACTCAATGTTGAAAATGAAATGTATTTTGATAAACACTACCTTTATAATTATTCAAAGTGTGTGTATTCATTTTTCTGGGATACCCTATATTAATGTGCTCACATTCCTATGTACTGCTATTAGGTAATCTTGAATCATTGGGAAGTGGAGTTCTAAATATAAAAATTCTGATGTCCAAGTTAAACTATACTTGCTCATTGTCTTCAAATAGTTTTAAAGAAATTTCTATGAGACTATTATAAAACTATACATGGAAAATCTAAAATTCTTAAAATCCATTTTATTAGAATGAATGTAAAGTTTTCAAAATCCATTAGAATGAATGTATGTCTCAATCTGAACATTCAAAAAATATATATGGTTCTTTTTAAAAATTTTAACAGCTTTATTGAGATATTATTGATATCCAAAACTACACATGTATTGCCGAAGCCGGTTTGGCTCAGTGGTAGAGCGTTGGTCTGCAGACTGAAAGGTCCCAGGTTCAATTCTGGTCAAGGGCATGTACATTGGTTGCAGGCACGTCCCCAGTAGGGGGTGTGCAAGAGGCAGCTTGTCGATGTTTCTCTCTCATCGACGTTTCTAGCTCTCTATCTCTCTCCCTTCTTCTCTGTAAAAAAATCAAAATATATTTAAAAAAAAAAAAAACTACGCATGTGTAATGTGTACAGTTTGATGAGCTTGGATGTGATTCTTTTCTCCAAGTGAAGAAAAACATGTTTTGAGGACCATAAGTTTAGAATTTTTAATGTCAGCTTATTCAGAATGAGTGTGATGATGAAAAGTTTAGACACATTCAGAGATTACGTAGTAGCTTTAAAAATGATGCCTTATATTATCAGATGCTCTTTTCAGCCCCTGTGCTTCACTATCTTTCTCAGGTTGAACAAAAGAAATCTATTCTGTCTTCAGTTCTACTGGGGTGTTTGTATAAATACAGCTTCAATTATATACCTCATAGTTGATTAGAGATTCAGAAAGATTTTGCTGTTCTGTTATGAGTAATTGTTGTCACAGTGAGGTATTCTTTTTTTTTTTTTTTAATAGCATTGCTTCCTATATAATTTTACCTCAAAGGAATTTCAAGTAAATAACAGACAAAATTATTTGTGCCAGTATTGCTTTGTAAATCATCTTCTCTTCCTCTGAAAAACTGGTATGAAATCTGGAAGAAACTCACCTGTGTAAGAATAGTTCCATTATTCTATGAGGAAGAAAAAAACATTTCCTCATTCTGTCTTATATTAAATGACCCTTATTTCCTGAATGCCTCTGTTGCTAGACTTGCTGTGAGCATTTCAGGAATCCTGGACTCAAAAATGAGAGACACAGTTATCCAATTGGTGGAATTTGTTCAGTGTAGTTCTTAACTCACAACGCAAATATTCATGTGATGAATGCCTCACACATGTTGTTGCTTATGAACTTGTAGTAGCTCTTCCATTGGAATACCAATATTTTCATATTTATGGCCACATATTTTTTAAACTATATTTTCATTGATTTCAGAGAGGAAGGGATCAGGAGAGAAGAGATAGAAGCATCAATTAATCAGCTGCCTCCTGCACTCCCCACATCAGGGATCGAACCCAAAACCAGGGCATGTGCCCTGACTGGGAATCAAACAGTAACCTCCTGGTTCATAGGCCACTGAGCCACATGCTACACCAGCTGGGCTGGGCACATATTTTTAAAGGCAACTATTGATAAACTTGATTGCTTGAATCATTGTATTCTTATTTTTTCTTTTCTTTTTTTTCCCCCCCCACCAGACTCTTAGAAAGAACTATCCGGTCAGCTGTGGAGCAGCATCTTTTTGATGTTAGTAGCTCTGGGGGCCACGGCTCAGAGGACTCAGAACCTGGAGCATCCCTAGCCCCTTCCACCTCATCCGCCAGGCAGCGCCGCCGCCAGTCCAGAGAGCAGGATGAAGTTCGACGCGGCAGAGACATGTGAGTTGGCCTTCCTGATTCTTGTTTGTGTTTTCTGTTCTTTTAAAAATAAACACCTGAGTTAGTCGCTGTATCATAGTCATTCCCATTTCAGTATTTACGTTAAAACTTTGAGAAGTTTTTGCCTTGACCCTTGTAAGCTTAGCTAACATTTGGGAATTTAGAGGTACTTGAAAAAACAACTGCACAATCAGATTTTCATGTATTTATTTAGGTAAAATTTATTATATTCCAGCCATTCATTCACTATTCAAAAGCTTATAAAATAAACCTTGTCTTTTAATTTCTAGAAATAATTTTCATCTTTGGTATTAGTCAGCTAGGGCTACATGACTGTGGGGCTTAAACAACAGAAGTTTAGCTTCTCACAGTTCTGAGAGTCTGTGAGGTGCTGACAGGGCTGCTTTGGGTGAGACCTCTCCCCTTGACTTGCAGAGGTGCCTTCTCACTGTGTCCTCACACAGACTCTCCTCCATGTGGGTGCTCTCCTGATGACTCTCCCTCTTCTTCTAAGGACACCTGTTCTGGTTAAGCCCCCACCTTTGCAACCTTATGTAACCTTAATGACCTCCTTAAGGACCCTATCTCCAAATACAGCCCCTTTGGGGATTAAGGTTTCAACATAGGAATTCGGGGAATGTAGTTTAGTTAGTCAAACATCTTTAAAACATATCACTCCCGTCCCCCCCATTAAAAAATTATAACTGGATGTTTATCCCAGGAGTTTAGGGAAAGCATTAAGAATGACAAGAAGAGCCCCAGCCGTTTTTGCCTCAGCGGACCCAAGAATCCTGGGTTCAGTTCGATTTAGGGTGTTTCTTCCTCATTGATATTTCTCTTTGTCTCTCCCTCTCTCTTCCACTCTTTCTAAAAATCAATGGAGCCAAAATTGTTTGGTTCAGTGGATAGAGCCTTGGTCTGCGGACTGAAAGGTCCCAGGTTCGATTCCGGTCAAGGGCATGTACTTTGGTTGCGGGCACATCTCCAGTGGGGGCTGTGCAAGAGGCAGCTGATGGATGTTTCTCTCTCATCGATGTTTCTGGCTCTCTATCTCTCTCCCTTCCTCTCTGTAAAAAATTAATAAAAATATTTAAAATAATAATAATAATAATTAAAATCAGTGGAAAAATATCCTCAGGTGAGGATTTTTTTTTTCAAATGACAAGATAGAATTTATTGGTACAATGAACAGTTTTGAATTTCAGAACAAACTCATCCAGCCATCCATAGAAGGCACTGCTCTCGGTGCATGGAGGGGAGAGACTTGAAGAATGTTTGTGTAAGTTTATGTGCTGGCATGTTAGTCTCTATTGATACTTGGAATGGCAAGCTCGAACTCTCATTGTGGGTTCCTACGAAGTTTGAAGAATAAAATTCGTGGACTAAAAGATTTTAAGGGGCAGGGGTCCCCAAATGGAGAACACCTGCTCCCCCTCACTCCAAAATGGGGAAAAACAGTCTTCTGAGTCTCTTTGTTCTACGGGATTATAAATGCAGAAGCTCTTTGTTCATCCCATTTTCTTATTAGCTCCTTCCTTATTTTATGTCCCCCATGCTTTCCTAATTGTCTGCTGCCTCCTTATTCCTCATGGTATCAGTTCCAAAGTTCAAAGCTCAACCGTACCTCCTCCTCTTCCCCTTATCTTGTAACATTCTTATAAACAATCTGGAGCCTCTCCCATGAAACCCCCCCTTTTCCTAAAACTGCCTTTTCTGTCTCAAAACTCCTTTCACTCTCAGCTTTTCCTGATGTCTTCAATTATTTCATATGAGGATTTTTCCTATAAAGGTTGCACATAACTTTTATATGATTTTACTAATTCTAAACATCTTTACATAAAAAGTATAAAATAAGAATAAATTAAATATGGAATGTTAAAAAAAATCACCAAAGATAGTATAACCTTGAAAATATTATGGTTCTATTAATTCATAATTTTGTTCCATTATATCCCATCTAAGACAGATAGGAATTTAGAGTGCAAAATAGATATTTAATGTTATCTTTAATTTTTGGATATGATTGAATTTTGGATAGTAAAATATGGTCATGTATTTTTACTCTTTAAAGCTCATTTATTTTAAGATGTAGCTTTAAGTGTTTAGGAGAGTACTTTTAGGGTCATACTTAAAATCTCATTCATTTGTATCTTACCAAAGCATAGTGCTACATGGATGGTTTAATTTGTTTTGTGATATAATAAAAGACAAACATTTTGCTAAGTAATTTAATTTTGTGAAAACCTCTTAAAAGTGAGTGTTTGAAATTATTAAAATAATTTCAAGAGCATTAAATGAATTAAATTCTGTAATTATGACATTCGTTCGTATATACATCTACAGCTAAGTCATGAAGGACCTCCAGTTACAAGCTTACATTCTGGAATTCCTTGCACTGGGACGTAATAAATTTATATTTCAATTAAAAACTATTTGGCCTTAACCGGTTTGGCTCAGTAAATAGAGCATTGGCCTGCGGACTCAAGGGTCTCAGGTTCAATTCCAGTCAAGGGCGTGTACCTTAGTTGTTGGCATATCCCTAGTAGGGGATGTGCAGTTGACTGATGTTTCTCTCTTATCCACGTTTCTAATTCTCCTTCCCTTTCCCTTCCTCTCTGTAGAAAATCAATATATATATATTATATTAAGTTATTTGTACTCAAACCAAGTGCTCCTCAGTAGATGAGTGCATAATACTGTGCAGCTGTGAAAAAGAAGGATTTCTTACCCTTTGAGACAGCATGGGGGGACCTGGAAAGTATTGTGCTAAGTAAAATAAGTCAGAGAAAGACAAGTATCACATGATCTCACTCATATGTGGAATCTAATGAACAAAATAAACTAATGAATAAAATAGGTCCAGAGACATGGAAGTATGCAACAGACTGATGAATCTCAGAGGGAAGGATGGTGGGGGGAAGAGATTAACCAAAGAAATGATATGCATAGCCATAGACACAGACAATAGTGCTATAAAGGCCTGGGGAGGGGCCAGGAGCAGGGTAGAGGGAGTTAATGAAGGGGGAAAGGAGGACATCTGTATACTTTCAACAATAAAAATATATTATTTTTTAAATTATCTGTATTTCATAGTTTCTATTTTGCTATTTCTACCAAGATTATCTAACATGGTCAGATTTATATATTAATACATTTTATTCCTCTAAAATGTCTTTATCATTTGGGAAAACCATCATGTCCCATTCTAGAGAAACACATATTTCCCTTTCAGATTTTTTTTTTTCATACACTGTATCAATGTGTAAGAGATGTGTGTGAGAGAGAGTGTGTGTGTGTATGGGTATGTATACATACATATGGGAGGGGGGGGCAGAATTATTTTGTTAGCTTACACTAATCTTCCTGTTTGAATACAAATCACTTTTGGTACAAATACAAAAGTTGTTCATTTGCTAGAAACATTGCTCTTGCCAATCGCCTCTAGGAATAATTTCTCTCTTAATGTGATTTATTTGGCACCAAGAAGTTTCAGTAGTGGCACTCTGCTCAGGTTTTGATCAAAGATGCAAACTGGAATCTCTAGCACTCTTCTGACTCCTGTGTGAGGCAGTGGCAGTATAATTAAAATGCCCCCTTTTCCCTTTGAGATACAATTAAGATAATTTTCTTTCAATTCTAGGGGACTCCTCAACAAAGAAAATATTCCTTCTGGGCTCAGCAACCTTGATGATTGTATTTTGAATGCTCAGGAAGCAGAAAATTTACATGAAAATACTTCTGGTTCTATTGGAGAAAGGAGCAAACTCAAACGTCAGAAATCCAGTTCCAGACTTTCTGATCTCAATGAAAATCAAGACATTCTTGTGGTAAGTGAATAATTTTACACAATTTTTACTTGGGGCCAATATCACATCTCTTTTCTTATTGCTTTGTAATAAATGAATAATAATTTCAATCTTGAATTTTACAAAATTATAAATTATGAGTTCTGAAAGAGATCTTAGAGCTACCTGCTATACACATTTGCATTTCATTTTTGTAAATATAAAAAGGCTGGGAAAGATTTTATTTTGCTAAAGGAACCAGAGAGAACGAATTTGAGTTCCATTTTATTCAAATTGATCTGGCCTTTGTCTTATTCTTTTGAGCATTTTTAACTTATTTTGGGGACAGGATTGTCAGTAGTTTGCATTTGTCCTTGTTTTCCCCATTCTGTTTGTTCTTGTCCATATGAATATGTAAAAAACAAGTTTTAATGAATGAACTTAAAGCCAGGTGAAAGGAAAATACAAAGGGAAAGAAGATCAACTTTCTTCATGTTCAGAAATTTATTTTCAAATCTATATTCTACCAAGTATTTTCTTCCAAATTAATCAACCTCCCCCCCCAAAAAATTAATCTCCTACATAGTTTCCTCAGACCTGAACCTTTAGTTCAGTCAATCACTAAAACATTATATGGTTTAGCAATGAATATATATCATTCTTTTTTGTGTATTCAGTTTCTCTGGAAAGTGAGAACCAAAAGTCTATCTTCTAATTCTCTTTATTTAAAACAAATTTTTCAAAAAGATATAAAGTGAAGATAGATTTTATAGCATAGCATGAACTGGTGTCTACTAAAAATAGGTAAAGTACATTCCCACCGTTCAGTATGTAAATCCTCCTGGTCTCCTTTATGTCTGCCCAGCTGTTAGCTCTGTGCTGGGTATACATTTAGAAACACTTATGGGCCACCTATTTTTTTCATTGTCAGTTTCTGCACATGCTCACAGAAGATTCCAAATTTTGCCCTAAGTAAAATATACATAAATGCAAATCCAGGGAAAGCATGTTTATTCTATTTTCTCCCAAAATGTCTTGATACTATATTTCTAGAAATAAACTGATCAGCTGGAAAGGACAGAGAGCATTCATTTACCTTAGACCTCATCAACACGGTTCTTCAAATAACAAGTATAAGCCCTGGAACCATTCATGACCCAGTAAATGTTATTGAGTATTGACTTAATTCATATTTGGGGGAACAGTAAAAAAAAATTTAAATCATACTAACTTCATTAGCTCTTTATTTGCTTATCTGCCAAAGAGAATTACAGTGACTGAAGGTCTGATTCTTGGTTTCTTTGAAAAGCATATAATTCTCTGTTTGAATCCCTTTTCACTGAACTGAACCCATCAATAATCTTCTTTTCACTAGGGATAGTGACTTAAATTATCTAGGTTGTAATAGCTAATAAAAGTAGAAAAATACACTTATTCCTTTGAATATGTATTTGATTGATAAAAACTATGGACATAGTCTTTGTTTAAAGACATTTGATGGAAAAACCTAATTTCGTGTTGGTCTTATTTATGTTCCCACCTTAGTTGCCAATTTCCACATTCCAGAATTGTGCCTGTCACATAAGTGAGCAAAATGGACCGTGTCTTTGTTGCAATGAATAACTTAAAATGCTGCCCATGCAACTTAGAAAAATTTTCCTCATCTATAAAGAGGGGATATTCTCTAAGATCTTTCCTAACTCTCATATTCCATAAATTTTTCAATCTCATCTTCACAGGTAACCACAAAACTAAGAGCCAGAGAATATAACAGTGACCAGTACAAGTATTTAGACCACATCCTGAAAGTTAGGTTGTGATCTAAACTTCCCTCTATTTTTAATCTTCTAATTTTATTTTATCCAACCCTCCTTCACAGTCCTTTTCTACTCCATGTCAAGTTCTTTGCACCCTGACTAAACACTTGATTCCATAGACGGGGAGGAAATATTGTGCTTAATTATATGCCTTCCATGTACCAGGAAGTATCCTGGGGATACAACAGTGAGAGAAATGGGCAAAAATTGCTGCCCTTATCGACCCCAACTTTTTAATAGGGGAAACAGACAATAATCAAGAAATAAGTAAGACATAGGCTATGTTAGATAGTGATAACTACTGGAAAGAAAAATAAAGCAGGAAATGGGGATAGGAATTATGAGGGGGCAAGGAATGCAATTTTAAATAGCATGGTCAATTAGATATCCCAAGAATTTGAACCTTATATAATAAAGAGGTAATATGAAAATTAATCATCATGCCATCACAAGATGGCTGTGCCTACAGCGGAGATGGGGTTCCCATAGTAATACAAGATGACTGCACCCACAGCGGAGGCAGGGTTCCCATAATGAGCAATCAGCAGGGACCTGAGGCTACGCTCCCCCCCCCACACACACACACACACATACACACACACTGGTGGGGCTTGACAGGGGCGGAGTTGGCCAGGTCTGGATCTTGCCCAGTGTGGGAGGGGCCAGCTGGGTCTGGGTCTCATGTGATTTTGAGATATGAGTGGGTGGGCAGGGACTTGACTCTGTGTCCCACTGTTTGCCCCAGACTCTAACAGTAGGAAGATTTTCATATACATTTTACTAACTTTCTTTCATCTCTGACACTTCTATTATAGAGAAAGGGCAATTAGCAATATTAAAACATTTCCTCTAATTAATTCCTTTTTAACATGCATGAATTTCGTGCACTGGGCCACTAGTTTTGAGTATAAAGACCTAGAGGAAGTGAGGACGCAAGCCTTAGAAGGATGTATTATAATGGCAGGTGGCAAAGGCCCCTAGGCAGTACTGCATCCAGAATGTTCAGGAAACCACAAAGACACCATCATGGCTGAAAGAGAGTGAGCAAAGTGAGAGAGGTACCAGGAGAGAGGGCAGACGAAGTAAGGCCTCAGAGATCATTGCAAAGCTCTACCTTTACTCTGGGTGAGGTGAGAATCCACTGAGGGCCTCGGTGGAATAGTGATCAGACTCACTGACATTTGATGTGACTTCTACCTTGAGAATAGACAATAAGTGGGCAAAAGCAGAGTAACCATGGCAGGAAGGTTTGAGGTGATTGTGGCTTCAACACAGGTGATACCAGAGCCGGCACATATAACCTGCAGGCCGTACAGTGCAATACTCCCGGGGCACTGTTCACATCAACTGAACCGTGAGTGGTCCCTCCTGAAGTGCTGCATTGCAGGAGTCATGAAATAGGAGATAGGTTCTGGTTACATTTTGAAGGTACAATTGACATTACCTGTGGAGTATGAAAGTAACAGAGGTCAAAGAGGCTCCATTGTTTTAGGCTTGAACAACCAGAAGATCTGTGTTGCCAGTGTACTGAAATGAGAAGACAGAGTTTGGGGGATAATCCAGGATTCAGTTTTGGACATGTTAGGATTGAACTGCCCATCAGATATCTCAGAGGCAGGAGGCAACTGGGTTTCTGGGCCTTAGTTGAGGAAGGATATCCTGGCAGGAGATACAGTGTGGGTGGGAGTCATCAGCAGATAGAGGCTATTTAAAGCCAGTATCCTGAGTGAGCAACCACGGGAGCAGAGTGGACAGAAAAGAGAAGTGGCCTCGGGGGACTGTGAGCCTGAGGCATACCAACATTGAGAGGTGCATGGAAAGATAAAAAGATACCAGTAGAAAAGACTTAAAAAGGAGCCACCAGCAAAGGAAAAGAAAAATGAGGTGATTTGGTTGTCTAGGAAGCTAAGTGAAAAGGGGGTCAGATGATGGATCAAATAGAAGGCTGAATAGGACCATTATTAGAATTAGCAAACTGGAGAACACTTACTAATAAAAGAGCAATTTTGGTGGAGAGATTGGAGCAAAAGCTATTTTCCAAAGAAAATGAGAGGAGAGTAACTGAAGACTGTGAGTCATCATTTCACAGAGATCTCACAGCCCACTCCACAGCCAAAGAGGACAATATGCAGTAACCTAAAAAAAAGGCATCTTGCAGACTTGGAATCTCTGAAGTGGGAACAGTCTGGGCACTTTCCCCTTTGTCCTTTCACCTTCCAAGGCTGCCGTGGGCTGCAGAGACCAGAGACCACAGACATTGCAGAGCTCAAAAGTTAGTGGCCATGAATGACATTAGAATGCTCTGCCTTATCGCTTTTGCCACAGTCTCAACCTTTTTCTCTCCTTAACCCCTAGCTCATGCCTGTGTCCTTCAGTCTCTCTTGGAAACTTGTCTCCTCGTTTACTTTGAAGAGTTAAGACAGCTGGCTGGTGTTTCAGCAAGTTTCCTCCTCCTGGTCCAAACTTTTTCTACATTTTCACTCATTTTATCTTCTTACCTGGTCAGATGATAACGTGGTCTTTCTAAATTGTAAAGTTAAGAAGTATCTTTAGAAATTCTGTTTTCTACATCCATCTCTGCACCCCACCCCCATGTTTGTGTACACACACACACACACACACACACACACACACACACACTTCATTGCTTTCTTCTCTGGCTCATTTCTGTTGGCCTAGTAACAGTTTGAATCAAAAGCCATAACTCAGTCATGCATTTTATTCAATAATCCTACCTCTGCTGCTCTGTCTCTCGTGTAATAGCTGTACAAGTGAATGTGCTACTCAGGTACTTAGTTCCCTCATCTGTAAAATCGGGGATATTAATATTCTCGTTGTATGTTTTTTAAATGCAATGAAATATGGTCAAAACAAAGAGGAAAAACTTAAAACAGTACATATTTAAGTTCCTTTCTGTTTCCTTGGCTCTGAGCTGCAATCTCATTCCTTCATTTTACCATCAAATATTTTGAGTAGTCCATACTTGTTATTTTCAATTCTTTTCACACTTTCAAGCCCTGTAGTCAGGATTCTACTCCCTTCTCTGAAGAAATTGCTTTCTTGGAGCGACCTGCAGTTGGAGCTGGCCTTTTCACACTTCTGTGCTGTGACGTATGCTTGACCTTGGCCTCTCTAAGGCCTGTGGTGCTTTTGACACTTTGTTCCTTGTTCTCAGAACTCTCTCTCCCTTGGCCTCTGTGATGGTGACCTTGCTTTGTCCTCTTA